AATGATGTCCGATGGGCAAGTCCTGTTACCGCTGTCTATAAAGAAGATGGGAGCATTAGGCTTTGCGCTGATTTTAAGGATACTGTAAACCCAGTTCTAGAAGACTTTAGATACCCTCTACCACGAATTAATGATCTAATTGCTAAACTTTCGAAAGGAAAGAAATTTACGAAGATTGACTTTAAAAATGCTTTCTTACAGATTCCAATTGATAAAAGTTGCAGAAATATTTTAACCATATCTACGCATAAGGGATATTACCAATTTACTAGACTTCCTTTTGGGCTTAAGACCTCATCTGCAATTTTTCAACAGATTATGGATCAAATCTTCGGTGACATGGATGACGTTATATTTTATATTGATGATTTACTTATAACTGGTAAAAACGATGAAGCCCACTTTAACAACATAAAAAAAAGTATTTGATAGGATATCATCGTATGGGCTAATACCTAACTTTAATAAAAGTGTGTTCTTTAAAAACAAAGTGAGGTTCCTGGGTCATGATATTGACGCTAAGGTGATTCATGCTAATCACGACAAAATTGAAGCAATAATTAATATGCCAGAACCAAAATCAGCTGCTGAATTATCAACATTTCTGGGAATGGCTGGCTACTATAGAAAATTTTTGAACAATTTTGCGGAAATTGCCGATCCTCTTTATAAGATTGTCAACAAAGAAAAATGGGCTTGGAACCTAGAACACTCTAAAAGTTTTAATGATCTAAAGAAGTTAATTAGTCTTCCACCTGCTTTGACATATTTTAACCCTGAATTACCTATAGGGATAGCCACTGACGCATCAAAATGTGGTTTAGGAGCTGTACTATTTCATATTGAAAAAGATGGTAAAGAAAAACCTATAGCTTTCGCGTCGAGAACTTTATTAAAGTCTGAAATGAACTATACCAATATTGAGCGTGAGGCTCTCCCTATAATGTTCGCCATAAAGAGATTTCAGGAATATTTAATCGGCACAAAATTTACAATTATTACTGACCATAAGCCTCTAGTTCACATCTTCACCAAGGGTCTTAAGGATAATAGCACTATGTCGTTAAGACTCCAGAAGTGGAATATTACATTAGGGGGATATGATTTTAATATAAAGTATAAAGCCGGTAAATATAATGTTGTTCCTGATTGCCTTTCGAGATTACCACAAGAATGTCGTGATGAAACTATTGAAAATGTAACCATTATAAATGAATATGAGGACTTTCCTATTAACTTTGATCAAATCCGTGATGAAACTTTGAAAGATACGGAATTAAAACAAGTCATAAATGATATTAATAACAACAGACCTATAATGAATAATATTTATAAAAACATTGAATTGGAATTAAGTAAAATTAAGGATTGTCTTTACAAAAGCAACAAAATCATAATTCCGTCTTCTATGAGAAAAACTATACTACAGTCATTACATGAAGGTCACTTGGGAGCAGGAAAAATCAAATCCTTAGCCAAAGATTACATGTGGTGGCCTGGCATATATAATGATATCGTTATGGAAGTGAAGAGTTGTGACGATTGTAATATATATCACGATAATCCTATAAAGATACAGAAACCATAGGTTTCGGCAACCAAACCGTTTGAAAGGATACATATAGATTATGCGGGTCCGTTTTTCACAAAAAATTGGTTGATAATAGTCGATGCCTACAGCAAATTTCCAATTATTATTCCTGTTAAAAATATTACGACTAATGTTACTTTAAAAGAAATCTTTAAAACTATTTCGCTATACGGAATACCTGAAACTATAGTTACTGATAACGGCACTAATTTTACGAGTAACGATTTTGAAAAATTTTGCAACAATTTTGGTATTAAACATGTGCTTACATCTGCTTATCACCAGCAATCCAATGGCCAGGTTGAACGCATGGTTAGAACGTTCAAAACACATATGAAAAGGAATATTAAAATAGACCCAGATATCGCACTTAGCAAATTTTTACTTAATTACAGAAATACGCGTAATGATACTACAGGAGTTACACCATCACAGAGAATGTTTAATCAAGATATTAGAATTAAATGGGACTTATTAAAACCGATGGAGGAGAAGGAGAATAAAATAAACGTTACTTTACCACGAAATATAACTTTTAATGTAGGAGATTTTGTTTGGTATAAAATACAAGGGAATGATAAATGGTGCAAAGGTATTATCACACATAAAGAAAGTGATATGATGTTCCAAATTAAGACTGAGAAAGGTATTTTGAGGAGACATTTAGATCAAATAAGAATTAGAAACTGTTTTAACACAATTATTAACTATGACTCTAAGGATTCTTTTAAGGAGGGAAGTATGGACAAAAATATAAAAATTACTGATAATAACGATATAACACCTATTTACCTGCTTATTTAAAAGACTATGTAACTTAAAATATAAAATAAATGTTAAATTGCATAAACTAAGTTAAATAATAAAACGCTTATATTAAAACGCAAAAAATTAAAACGCTAAAAATATAACAATCTTATTGATTTATCATTCTTTATTTATTCTTATGATGAACTATTATTTCTTATTCGCAACTTATTTATGATAATAACAATTTCGGAAATATGATAATAACAATTGAGTACTATCAAACAAGCTATGATTAATGGAGACAATTTACGATATGGATATCAAGCTTGTGATTAAACAAACCAACGTGCAAAATCGAATTGATCAAACCAACGATTGGGACAAGCCAACGTTATGATGATTTGTGATACAACTTGATTACCAAAACGATAAACCACTTGGACAACAAACTCTCTATGACTTCTCCGATGAAATTATCAGAAGAGGGAGAATGTTGCATTATTCTAATTACAATATAAATTTTATTTTTTGTTATAATCTAATTTTATTTTATAAACGGCGTAACCTTACTTTTTTTATATTATTTTACTTTTTTGTATTTCGTTTTATATTCTAATTTATATTTTAGAAAATGTATATATACCTTTAGAAAAGAAAAAGAAAGGAGTTAATAAAATATATTTTTTATTTAATAAAGTTAATAAAACATATTTATTATTTACCGGCACTTAATTCATGTTACTTTACAACTTATCTTTGGCTATTTCTTATAAAACATTTTTGGTTCACTTTTTATATATATATAAATGCTTTTTTCGCAAAAATGTATAAATTATGATGAATAGTTTTATAAAAATATCAACTTTTACATTCTTTCTTTCAAATTATTGGTTAAGATATATGCATACATTTTTGAGGGTCAGGGAATGGGGGGAGGACTGCTTTTTTTCCAAAAATGTATAAATTATGATGAATAGTTTTATAAAAAAATATCAACCTTTTCATTCTTTCTTACAAATTATTGTTTAAGATATATGCATACATTTTTGAGGGTCAGGGAGTGGGGGTAGGACTAAGGGGGATATTTTTTATTAGCTTAAAATGATACTCACAAAAAGTTTTAAATTTCTGAAGGGGGGAAATTTCATCTTGCCCCCCCCCCCACCCTGGCTACGCCTATGGCTCATTTGTTTCTTTAGATTGTATGATTAAAGATGAGTTGTATTATTTTTATTTTAGAGAATTATTTTTTATATATTGATTTATAAGGTTTAAAAAAGCCGTTTTTAGTCAGAATATGTACTTTTCATTTTTTATTTTTAACTTAATAAAAATTCTTATCTACTGTATTGGATTATTGGAGTTCTTGCTGCCCAACACACTATCATTCATAAATTTTATTTAATTCTATACTCTGATAGACAGTTTCCCAACATTATAGACTTGTATTGACTGATATTATAGGTAATTATTGAATTGAAGATTGATTTTCTATCAAGTTATATCGGTTTACTTCTACTGAACAGGAATAAAATTTCCAATTTAATAACAAATATTACTCAATTGAGTTTAAATAGCACAAGACATCTCTATGGAAATTAGAGACATGCAGAGGTCGTCCATTTTACAGAGTTCACATGAAAATTTAATGTTTCAACAAAATTATTGTAGAACAAAAATAAAGATTTTCTAAAAAAAATTTGTAATTTCCCCATGAAAGAATTTTTAAGCAAATAAATTAAAGAATACAAAATTAAAGTTTTTGGCAATTTGATTAAAAATTTTGATTACGTGTACTCACTATAATTGAGAATTTTGTGAAACCCTGATTTATTTTTAGGCCAGGATTTGGATTTTTAAAAAATTTTCCCACTTTCAAATTCAGCTTCTGTTTTGATTTTCAAGAGCCATATTTTTTTGAAATTTGGATTATTTTATAACTATCCCCTGGGTTTTTAAAATCTTGTCATTTTAAATTGGCTGCATTAAAGAGTAATTAAACATGTATGAAGCGTAAATATAATGTCAAATAATCCATATTTTTAATTGATCTTTCCTAGATAAAGCCAAGATTTATTGAAATTTTTTAGCAAGCCCTACTAGATGTTTAAAATCTTATTATTTAAAGCCTAATCTCAGTTACAAATAAGCGAATATTTCAGAATATTTTCGTCAAGGGAAAGGTTCAATTCAATTCATAAAATGTTTACCTGAAAACATTACCTCTCATTTCTCATATCATTGATATATATAATTATCCTTTAGAAAAAAAAATACTTTAATTAATCCTAACAACTTTACTTATGTTTACACGAGTAAACGCTTTCATAGAAACATTTATTAATTTGCAACACGCTTCTAAAAATATTAGGATAAATCAAAACAATAAATTTTTTACTGAAGGATAATGATATATTTTTGATATCCATAATAATCAAAGACCAATGATGATAAAATGCAATGTAATATTAATAATAAAATAAATGTTAACATAATTTACTTAGTCCATGAATAATTTGGAAAATTTATTATTACATAAATCCCATAAAAAATTAAAAAACGGTAAATTTGTTAATTCGTCAAAAATTTATAAAATGGCATTTGTCAAAATATTTTCAAAGATGTCAATCAAACATACCTCATTTAGGATATTCTAAGTTATATCATTAAAAGTGATCATATGTAATTTTTATAAATGTGTAGCGTATACTCAAATTTAACACCGGGTGCTCATGATTATTATCTAAAATTTTTATTAGTTGGTGATAGTGATGTTGGTAAATCAGAAATATTAAATTATCTTGAGGGATATTATGAAAATAATATATTAGGTATTTTAATTATTAAACTATTAATTTTTAAACCATATATAGGAATAAACTCTAAAACATCATTATTTAACTTAGATGGGAAAAAAATTAAACTTCAATTATGGTATACTTATTTTTGTATTATTTATCATAATTTATAACCAGGGATACTTCTGGGCAAGGGAGATTTTGTACAATAATACGTTCTTATTCAAGAGGAGCACATGTAACATTAAAATGTATATCTTTTATTTTAATAATTATAGGGGGTTCTTTTGGTTTATGACATAACTAATAAATGGTCATTCAAAGGGATTGATAGATGGCTAAAAGAGATTGATAATGTAAGATAAATTGTATCTAATATATATTGTTCAGAAGCTTATTATAAATTTTTGATATTATGTGGCTATTCAGAGTTGGACAGGTCCTAAAAAAAAGTATGTACAAATACAGATTCATTTCATAAAAATAAATTGCCTAAGCCTCAAAATTTTACTAATAAATGTCCCTTTGTGCCATCTATGAGCAAAATCATTAGACTTGCATATATTTCTGGATAACTGAGTTAGACATTTCTAAAAATGCTCAAATGGAGCAATTTTGCATCACTAAAAATATCGAATATAAATATAAGACTCATATTTTTTTTCTAAAATTAAGCCTTATGGTAAGCAAGAAATACCATGTTATTGCCCTAACAATGCACAATTTATCATTTAATGTTAATAGATTAGGATTGTTAAAAAGCCAGATTCAAGTTGATTTTCAATTAAAGTTTTATCTAAAATAATATATAAGCCTGGGAAATTTTGCTCATAAATGGCAAAAAGGTTCTCCTTTGTCAAATTTTGAGGCTTACATAATATTATTTTAACTAAGAAATTGGGTTGTTATTAAAAATTGACCTGAATTGGACTTTTTAACAACCCTTTATAAGATGTATAATTTAATAATGTATGTTTTGTAAATTACACATTTCCTGAGCAATATTGCAGTATTTTTCTTTTACTATAAACAAGGTACAAGATACTTTTTATAAAAATTTTAATATATTATTTATTTCTGTAGAACTTAAATATATAATATAATAAAAGATTTATATTCTTAACATTGAATACAAGCATTAATATATCTCATTTAGTTCATATTAGCATGGTAAATATTGCATTAAATTAAAATATAATAGGGGATTGGGTATAATAATTCTTTCTATATAATAGACTATAATGTTAATGATAAAGCCAAGATAAAATCTACATTGTTCACTAAGGGAGATATATAAATCAACCAACAGATGTGCATAGATAGAGATATATGATATATTATGTCTGAATAATAAATTACACCAAGCTATGGTTTCTTTGAGAGAAATTAGCTTAAGATATTTTATAATAATATTTTCCGCTATCATTTATATATATAATTAATGAGCATAAATAAAAATAATTAAATGTTTATTAAACAATCGATCTACCAAGTATTTCTATTTTTATATACAGTGCAAGGCAAGACAATTTAAATCTTGGATATTGAAATAAAAATAAATGTATTTACCCCCCCCCCCCCCCCTCACTTCCCATTATATTTCTTTTTATTTGAATAAAATAATAAAAATTATAATTTATAATGAAATATTTCATTAAAAATTAAATTATTAATACTTATAAGATAAAATACATTGTCAAACAAACATAAACAGACCACTAATATTAGTCTTTTATTATTTATTAGCAATTACACAGGAAGTAGAGGTAAAATATCTCATTTAAAGGGGATCACAAATTTTGCCAAAATGTGTTAAATGATTATATTAATATGAAAAAGTGGTATGCCAAAGTATAAAGTATATAAAAAACAACCAAATTAATGCAGAATTCATGAAAATTAGAGTTTAAAGTGATTATTAGTTTTTGGTTTTTGTTAATCAAAAATATCAAAAAGATACAAAATTCTTTTGAAATTATAATATATTTTAGTTACCAATATATGCCTTATTAAAAATGTGAAAAATTTACTTAGTACAAGTTTAGTAGCACTGCCCAACTCTGTAGGTACTAATGCATAAAATTAATTCTTACTGTTTTTTTATTATGAATTATTATAGTTTAATTACAAATTCACTTAATCAAAATTATTTCATAATTTTATGTAGGATTAAATCTACATTTTTTTTATTAATAAATCAGATATTTTATATAAATATAGAATAGTCTTATTATTAAAATTTTTTTTTTTGAAAGTAAAATTACGTAATTTATCAGATGACTGAGTTACATTAAATTAAGTTTAATATAATTTTAATATGAAATCTTGCATTTTATTTATGGCCTTGTTTGAAAATGGAATATATATATTTATTAAACTAGAAACTATATAATGTTTAGAAAACAAAATTTTAATAAGGGTGTATTTAATTATATATTTTTTTTTTGTTTAATCTTGGAAACTTCAATTAAATTATAATTATATTGATAATTGAATAATTAAGTGAACCCCACATATTTCTTGATATCATACTCAACCCACCCCCAGAAATTGTATATATCCTATTAATTAAAGATTTTATTTGTTTAAATTGATTATGTTCCAATAAAGATTAGTGCCAATAATATTTATTCTTTCATTTTTTTTGAAAAAATATACAATAAAAATTAATAACAAAACACCTTTTACAAGCCAAATGTTATATAAATTAGGTAACTGCTAGTTCAAATTAGAAGTAGAAATTTTGGGCCGGGTTGTAGCAACTTGCGCAAAATATTTTTTACAGAGCAAGCCACAATTTCGCTTAAAATTAGGCAAATTTATATATATTTCCTTCATCAAAAATTATTATGGGTTGGACCAAATAAATTTGTCGAAAGTTATTATATTATCAAACGGGGCCTAAATAAATAAAGTTTAGAGACACTGCGAATTCAATAGCTTGAAAAAAATCAAAGATTTAAAAATCATAAAATTGAATGTTTTTTCAAAATTTTGAAAATTTTTTTATGCATCTAAATTACAAATAAGTAATTTGAAACTTTAAGGTAAAATTAGATCAAAAAATATTCCTCATTTTAGATTTTGAGGACCATTTCAAACTCTAGCAAATTCTAATATTTTTTAGGGCCTTATTCAAAAAAAATTTTTTTAAATTGAAAACTATTAATAATCATATATAAAATGTTAATAATAATTACCTAATTGTTACAAGAATCGATTTCAAATATCATTTTATTTTTTAACAAATTGAAGACAAAATTAACAAATTTTTAGGCTCGGTCAAATCAAATTTGGACTTTTAATTTTTTTTATTAACCGTCAGCCCCGCCCATTGTTTAAACAATTATTTTGATTGGGTGGACTAGATTTATAAATTATATTCACATAATCTTTAACCTTAAAAAAATGTGCAATATTTTGGAATAAAAAACTAATTTAATATATTTATAAACCCGCCCTGCCTATTCCATCTGTAAAATTGATAGTCTCGTGTCCAGGAGGTCAATTATGGACAAAAGACTAAAATTCTATTTAAAATTTGAACGGGCTAGAGAGCGAATATATATACCCATTAAAAATAGAATAATATTAATAAACGAAACCGAATTATTGTTATGCCAAAATATTTAATGTTTCTTGAGGAGGGAAAATAAAATTATTTTTTAAAAAAGTGTAAACTTATAAGAATTCAAATTTATACTTTTTTTTACCAGTTTTGAATAGGTCTATCCTGATCTCTACTCCTGATATTGTAACATATATTTACACAAACAATCATTATATAATTTTAAGTTAAAAATAAGGGAACCCCTTATTTATAATTTATATATGCATAAGGTTAATATGATATATATTTTTTAAAAGTTAAAAATCAGCTATATGAAATTTTTTTATAATCCAATATCAAAAAGTTATAATCTAATCTTTTGTTTCACATATCATTATCTAGAAGTCAAATTAACCAAGAGTTCAACCCGACCCCCTCAGAATAATTTTAAATCTGAATTCCATATCAAATCAATCAAGAGTTCAACCAGATCCCCTCAGAATTTTTAAATTTTGGATATTGGTAGTATACATATGGGCGTTTATTGAAAAAAATGTCATTAATTCTCATATATCTCAAGAATAACTTAAGTTAGAGCAATATTTTAAATTTTATTATATAGCTTAATAATAATCTTTAATATGACTTATAGATAAATATAATAAAAATCCGATTAATACCAATAAAAAGTATAAAACCGAAAATGGGCATAAAAAAGGTATTTTTCCAAAAAAATTTTCTGCTTTATATTTTTACAAAATTTTAGAAACGTTGGTCTAGGAGTTATGAACCTTTACATGAATAAAATTGATCAAAATTTATATTAAATATCATATTTAAATTTAATGGATACTTACGTAATAATTTTTATTTTAAAATTATGTCTAAAGGAAAGGCCCTTTATTATTTAAAAAAATTACTTGAGAAGTGGGGAGGGGGGTAATAATGTGGTTTATTAATACTTTGGTTAACTTTTCTTTTGAAATTACGTGTCAAAATAATTCTAAACATATTTATAACTTTATTTGGTGCATGTAGTAATACAATCAAAAATTTATTGATATCATATTAATTCATCCATTTGAATAAATTTTCACTTTCATTTTATTTTCAGCTAGGGGAATAAAAGTATAAAATTTTCTGTTCCAGAAATTTGTTTTGCTGTCAAAAACCTGTTTTTAAGATGATTTTTCATACTTAGATGTGCGGTTGCAAATAAATGCCACTCTGCCTTTATCCCAAAATCATTTTTATAATTGTAGAGGTTAATAAAGGTTTTGTATTTTCATATTGGGTAACTGCCTCAGCAGAAAAATAATGGACTTTGATTACTCTGCCCTTTCTTCAAAGAATAAGATCAATTTTATTTTAAATGAATGAAATGCACATGCCTTGTGCTTTAAACAATCTGAAACGAAATTTACTTAAGCCGTCTTAAAGGTAAGGATCATAAAAAGTGGATAGTTGCCTGATTATTGGTTCAATGGAATCCTTGTACATGATCCTGCACTACAAATGATAATTTTTGGAAAGATCAGTAATATAATCTATCGAATTCACGTCAAATAATAAATAGTCTTTTATTTTTGATTTATGCTAAAATAAAAGATTTAAAATTATTTTACTAATTAATTTCAAGAGAAAATTTAACCAATGTCAAATAAACTAGATAATCACCCACTACCCCCTTCCCCCCCCCCCCCCCCCACACACACATCTTAAATAATTTTTTTAAAGAATAAAGTAAGGGCCTTTCATTTAGACATAATTTTTAATTATTACGGTATCCATTAAATTTAAATATAA